CTTCATTTACTTCTGTTGAGCAGAGAGACAGACTTCTTAAATGTTTTACACAACCGACCGAAAGACAGATATTCATTCTCATTAACGATGTTCATCGATGTCATTATCGTCAACTTGATAACAACAGTCATAAATCATCATCAGCACTGAACTAGTTTCAATCACTCGTTTAGCAACCATCATTACCAATCAGCAGTAATCGTTTAAGCGTACTTCTTTTAATACTATCGTCGTCTGTAGTCAAGTTACTATTTCATAGTAGTGATGGATGGCATCCCAACAAGATTTCAGTTCGGTCTGAATCTAACCAAGTCGACTTTTTAATATTCCGACATTCGGATGTTCGACCGAGTTTCAGCATTCCTTGATCGGAATCGACCGAATTCATATTTCGAGATTCAGACGTTCGGAATTCCCATCGATCTTCGGTCGGTGCCATCACAATTTCTTTAAAATATATCGTATAGTTGTTATGGTTATATTATCAATTCATGAGGCCTATCATTTTTTCCCGAAAATATATCCAATTGAAGTATAAGAATTCATGAAATTGCAAGAACCTTGTGTAATTGAATATATCACATGTATCTGAATGAATGAGAACCGAAATGATCTGTTATCACGCCAAACACCTTATCAGCACAAGCTTGACGATTGTTTGCAATTGCATAAGAACACAATCGCAGTCTCTTTTCACATCATTAAGCACTGAAGCAAACATTCGAAGCACCAAACGAAGTTTTGTAAGCATTCCTTAGATTTTATGTTCCTTTCGAACCTATCACTCATTCTCCCGTACACGCTACCATCGCACAGCCGACTCACTATTAATTCGATCCAAAGTGCCATTTTATCGATAAATACTCGTTGATTTCGATGTAGTTTTTGATGATTTCGCCTTGTCAACTCCGTTTCAGCTTGTAATTTTCGTTGAAGTTTAAAATGAATGGATCATAAAATAGTTACGGACATACGTTTGATCAGTTCATTTGATAAGATATTCAAGAGAATAAGGTTCAGTGAAGAAATGAATGCGTAAATGCCAATAATTGTTGTTGAGAAATATTTTAATCGGCAAAAAATCAACTAATTGTAATTTTGCAATTCTTTTTTTGTTGTTTACACTTAAAGAATACCGATTCATCATTATTATCATTTAACTGATGCAATTTGATTGTAAATTTAATAACAGGTAGTGCCTGTCTATTCGCAATCGATCATTACATCACGTCTATCGATTGATCAAAATGTAATCGACCGATTGATTTTTTTTCAGCTTGAAGCGATTATGCTTGTATTCAATATTTTGGCTAGACTATCATTGATTTGTTGCTTCTTTCAGGCACAATACCGGTTCCTTGCCCCCTTTCTGAATAACGAACGTATTCTGTTACTCAATTCTCTTCCGTTCCAGTTCAGCACAATCATGAAGTCTTCAAACGATAATCACTATTCAAACGTCATTAGCTTCATGCCAATTAAGATCCATCGATACCGAAGAATTTCCATCTGTTAAATCAGAAATTTTTGGACCTTTGAAAATTTTTAAATCGTTGAAACGGGCATTTAATGCGAAGGAATCGCACCAAAGTTCCTCCAGATAGATTGCTTCATGAGATCAGAATCAGCTCCGAACACTGCTTGCTCCAGAATTGAACAACACTAAGCGTTCATGCGACTTCACATCGTGTCACTTTCGCTTTTGAAAGCTTGTATCGAATCGTTCAGAGGATTCATTTAACAGCGTTTCCGTTCAGTCGTTGACCGTCCTGAAATTGGAGGGCGTTCGGAATTTGCTTGCCTGATATCAATGATTCTCTGAGCGTTTATGCATTCAAGTCACTGTCGACATCAGACTTATTATACCGATTTAGTTCGCGTACCGTTCACTTCATGAAGCTGACAATTAAGACCTGTGAGCGATTCAAAATTCGCCGATATCTAACGATTTTTGTGATCGCTTCGAAGGATCAGATCCTTCTTTCGATTCGCAGGTCCAACATCAAGAATATCCCAAATTGCTCGCCATTCATTTCATATTTTGTCGTTTCATAGTGTTCAAAACGTCACTGCTGTCATCGGCAATGACAAATTCAAAGTGACAAATCGATCGTAATCAATGTATTTAATGTTCACTGCTTCTCGAGAAAATGCGTTGGATTCCACGAAATTTCGAGATTGTTTTGAAGGAAAACTGAAAAAGTTGTTGTTTTATTCGACGACCGGTACTGTTTTGGTTAATCGAAACGATGTGTGTTCATTCTACTTTTATCTTACAATTAGCAGATTTTTCGCTACAATTATAGTCATTGAAGTTTTTCACTTAATGGATGTATTTTTTGATAAAAGGTGAAACCTGATGCACGGATGCAAAAAAGCGATATGGTTCGTGCCAGCGCACCTGGTACGTTCGTTCACATCAATCGAGTACAACAAACCTTCTGTTGGTGTTTTGTGCTCGCAGCAATACCGACGTCTTCTTCATTCTGCACTAGTCTTATCTCGTCTTGTCTCTTCTCACTCGTTCCAATTTATCGCTCATTCACTCAGCTGATCCATTCAATGAGTTATCTTCAAGAATCACTCATCAGTCATCAACTGATCACGAAAGTGACCGTCACAATCGCAAATGCTCAAATTTATTGGCGATTCAGTGACTGATTCACAATGGTTCTCAAAAATGAAATTATGGAGACGAAACTTCAGTCATTTCATATGGATGAACTCATTAAACATTTCACTTGAATGCGTCACAGTTGAACGAAAACTCTTTCGTTTACTTCGACTGAAATTTTGGACTTATCAGAATCAAAAATATGAACAGATGTTCAAGGTATTGATGGAATCAAAAAAATGAGAATCTCAGTTGAAATTGCTAAGGGCCAAAATTTGTTAAGGCAAAACCTAGCCATTGCTCCGGCTCATCATGCTCATCACAACCATCGTTATGTTGGTTTTTTTCGTTCACTCGGAGACTCATCATTTGCCGTTCACCCACCCGACTGTAGTTTGTGCTTCCATGAGATCGTTAGCGTGCATGATGACGCGTTTGGTAGTCGTCGTTTCGTTTTTGTTTTATTTCCTTTCAAAAACATTTCAGTAAGTTCATTTTGACTCATTTCGTTGCACCTATGGAATGGGTTTGATTAGAACATTTGTGTTCTTTGACGTAACAATTTATGATTTGTAGTCATTGACGACGACTCGCTTAATGTGATAAGATGCCTTTTGTGAGCGTTGTCCATCATTATCGCTTGTAAGATGAACCGAAATTCGAGAATGCGATTAGTTGTTTCGTGTGTGAAAGAACCGCTTGAAACGGGAACCTGTTTCGAATTTATCTCTTGCTGCTGGAATTTATCATATACGCTGAATTATTTCAAGTGCTTCCTCATGGAACTGCTTTATTTGCTGACAAAATATTCTTATCGATCTGTTCATTGTTAGCTTCCAACTGAATAGAATTCCAGCAACTTCGTCATTTCAACCACATCATTAGCACTGTTTTGACTCATCTTATTTTAGGTAATTGAATTTCCGGATAATTGAAATAAGCTGATTTCAAAGTATTGTGTTCTCTGAAAATGAGCCATTCGTTCATCAGGCGATACTTTCGTTTGTTTGCACAGTAGTTCAACAGGCATTTGGTATCGATAAAGTTTCCTCGTGCAAAATGATCGAATTGATCGAAGCGATGTGTTTTTCAGTGTGAATTGTTTAATGCTCCGAAAGCGTTCATTCTGCACTGCTATGCCAACTCTGCACTGTTACACTGAATATTCATGAGCATCAGCTAATTCAAGCATGCTATTAGCTTGCTAAATACCATAACGAAACACTCAATCAGTGGGCATGAACCATTAGCATTCAATCACTATATCAGAACCACATCACTGCTATTGATCCACACCACACCAACATCCCTGTGCTTTGAGTAAACCGATGAGATTTTCACATTTTAAACATAGCGATCGATTATTTTCCAGTTTGCAGTCAACTTGAACAATATCGTGCAATTATATCACCATTATTTTGTCATTTCTCTTCAGAATCACAAATAAATTCATTTTGATACAAACGAAAAACTGCGGACACAAATACTTTCTGTGTTCGTGTCCATAGCTTTGTTCAGCTGAATGTTTCTGGACGATATATCATACAAAGAACTCAGTGAGAAGGCACGTTTCCATATCTATCAATATCAATCTGTCATTCACATTTCAATCATTTCTACATCGAGAGTATTGTTTTGTAAGGTCAATGCAGAAAAAAGAAACTGGGTTCTTATCAATGACGGAAATTGGAATCTTACAATGATTTTCATACTCTGAATAGTAAACTCTATAACTGATAAGGTCGTCTGAGTTTTCAGATGCTTCTTGTTTTGGTCAGTCACAGAAGATTGAATTCATACGTGCTTCTGATCTACCTAATTATTAGTTCGACACCCTTTATGATCATGATCAATACATTAGCATGGCTTTTTTGATCNATCCAGAAATATGGACTTTCAAACGACTTTTTTCTGTTGAAAGCAACACTACTTGTTGATCTCATCAGTGACTGTCGCGTGAAGTGCAACTTGTCACGAATATCTCTTCACTTATGAATTTCGAATCGAGCTCTCAAATCTGAACCGTTCATTCGAAATTATTAGCTCATATATCGAAGATTTGAGCACATTTATCTCGTTGATGATGATTAGAATTGATAATTTTCGAAACTGTTATATTTTGTTCTTTTTTGTATTCATTACGCGTTCGTATCGACGATCTGTTTGCTGGTGAATGCCTGCGATAGTGAAATTTTGCTAATTTCAGTACATAGAAAATGTGTAGCATATAACGAATTCCATTAAATACCACATATCATCGTTTGATGTGAATTCGTCATTTCGATAAACTTTTCAACCAATCAAATCATCAACAAACCAAAGTCAGCTGACTGACTGAAGAGGAGGATTATATCGTCCAATTTCGTCAATCAAATTGGTCGCCGTTATGGCTGTTTTACAGAATCCGATTCATTTATTGAGTCAAATTCGGAAGAAATTCCCCGAAGCCGAGAAAGAAGATTGGATTCTGAGGCTCGATGATACTAAACGGAAGCCTAGTTCGTATTCTTGATTGTTTGCTTTTTGATGTATTGTTAGAACTGCGATGGACTATGTGGGCTCCGAGAATTGCATTTGATTCCTCCTTCTGTCTAGGGGACTCGTAGGACGGAGTGTTGGAGAAGTTGTTTTTCGCTTTTAATTTAAAGCAATTCATTGGGAGCAGTTGTCTCTAAGTCAGTTGTCCTAAAACAGTGGTTTTGACGCTAGAGCGCTACATTCATCTCTTTGATCTCTCCATTATGCTCTGAAAGAGTCATTTCGTTGAGGCTTGTCTTCCTAATGAATTCTAGTGAATATCTTCTGATTTTTCTCGACTATTTTCGCAATTTTTATCATTAATGTTGATGTTACTATTGAGTTTCCTTCCCCTGTTATCCAGACTTTCAGAGATTGCATTGACCCATGCTCTTAGTCCAGCTGTTCTATTCCATTGATATGCATTCATATATCATAGTTCTTCTTGAAAATGATTTAAAAACAGTCACAAACGGAAATTCACAATCTCAGAAACAATGTTATCCCCTTCCCGACCCCGAAAGAAGGCAACAATGATTAGTTCAAAAGCAAGCTGTATGCACAAGCCGAATAATGGAATGATTCATTCAAGTCGAATAAGATTTCAGAACGAAGCTGTGTAGTATGTGTCGCAAGACGTCCTTCACTATCGGAATCGAGTCTTCCTCTCGACGAAACGAAATCGTCACTGATCTCATTCACTCTCAACCCTTCACACAGAATCACCGATGCTCACTTCAGGTGCTCTATTCTATTCATCAGTTGTGTTTTTTAAAAAAAAGTAAAGTGAATGCTTGCAACAATCATGAAATAATCACTTCAATTTGTTTGTTGAATTTAGGGATTCGATATGTGGCCTGAATGCAACCGACGTGATTGGTCGACGGATTGATCAACTCTGTGTTAGGGATGACAAATCAGTGTTGGACACGCTGCTTGATTCAGGTGAATCTGAGCACCGCTTTCAATCGCTCACTCTAAAAGATTTGATAACCATATATCATAGACACGATCGCAACTGCATTTCACAGCATTGCCTTCGTGATCTCAGTAGTAATTTACGAAATATATGAGCCTAGTCGGGAGTTAATTGGCTGACCAAATATCTGATACCGAAAATCTGTTATGTCGTATTTCAAGTAACAAAAATTTTGCAGTAGCCGAATGCAGTGCCGAATTACGGTTATGCATCAAAGAGAATATCATCTCAACTCGTGCACGTACCCTGAAATCTGCAAATAACAATTCCGATGGATCGATTGTGCTCGAATGTGCTGTTATTAGGTCGTTTCATTCAGAAACTTCAAATCTTTTGCATTCATCGCGTTTTTCTTATTGTTACTTTCTCAATGAGTTGGGCGGTCAAGTGATCGTTCCATTCTGTCCAAGCAGCATTCATGTGTTCTGTGGTGAATCTTGTGGCTGCATTTGTAGCATTTGCTTTTAATTTTATTATGAAAACATTCAGTTTCTATGGAAATTTTTTTAGCTACTCATTTATTGCTCTGAAAGAGTTGCTTTCTTTGGATGACTAGAGATTTTAAAGTTTAATGCTATTAAGTGCGATTTCCCTCGCATTGCTTTCAAACACCCAGAAAACTAATTCAGAAGGTAATGTTGATGCTGATTCTATGCGCAACTTTTCAACGAAGATGTGATGTCAACGAAAAAGATGTGGTTCTCATCAATTGATTAGCATTTTCAGATGCTTGAAGCATTGCCTGCAAAAGCAATTCTCGGCACCAGGCGGATGTTCTAGCGATAACAACGGTACCAACAACAACGCTAAATTGAAGATGTCGTCGAGCAGTGAATCGCTGAAGTCGTGTGCCATTGAGGACACCGCTTTGGACAAACGTCGCCATTCGACACCGTCCGAAACACTCTCGCCGGAGACGCCATTCGATGTTCCGCGCTGCGGCATCGATGCCATCTCTCCGGCCACGGCTACGGAAAGTTCCGCCAGCGTTCACTTCGAGACACTCTCACCACCGTCGTCGATCCCCACCGAATTGGTCAGTGGATTTTTC